CCATCAGAAGTAAAGAAAAAGAAGTAGTTTATATGAATATTATCAATCAAAGTTGCGTTGACGTAAAATTCGACGGATCTAAACAGGCCTTTCTATTCGAATTCACCCAAAAAAACTCAAATTTGAATCTATTGCGTGTTAACTTTGTCGATTTCGCGCCATAGACATCCACATATCAATATTTATAAAGGAACCCGTTACGATTAAATAAATAAACAAATAGTTATGCGCTGAATGTGGTTTAACTGTTTATTATTACGTCGAATTACTACGCATTAAAAGTGTATTTCACATTGTGCAATCGGCCATAAGTTTTTAATAAATACATGTATAATGCGAATTCTTGTTTATGCAAATCGGGTCTCCTATATTTTTTATTATTTTATCTACCTGTCAGGATTTGCTCTTTCATGAAATTTGTGGCGAATTGATTAACTGCATTATTTTTACACCATCGTTAAGTTCGTTGTATATTTCGTCGCCATTGTATTCAAAACAGTAGCGGTAGGCGTAGTTATTCAACATTTTCCTACTTAATATTAGGCCAGTTGTTTATATGAAAATGACGGGAGAGTTTATTTTACTTTCGGGACGGTTTTCAAATATATTTTTAGTCCAAGTCGGCCTTTAAATTGGTTTCCGTAGTATCGAAATGAATAGATATTTTGACATGCTCATAGTATACTACATGGTATGTGGACAATTAAAACGACATGGTGGTTGGAGTTCATCTCAAGTTGCTGGTGGCTACATTCAGAAGTCTGTTCGGATTCAGATTACATAAATACTTTACTTACCATTTAAAGTACGTTTAATATTAATATTCAAAAATAATCTTTATAGTTTATACTAAGAACCAACATTGGATTGTTATTTTTTTAAATTTGTTAATTAAGTTTTTTAATAAAAAATTGGTATAATTCTGAGGTGTTTAAAACAAGAAATTGCGTAAAAATTCCTGAACTCGCAATCTTCCAGGACTGGCCTACTCGTCCACTAAAATGGCATTAAACTACTATATCGTTGCAGAAAGTGTCTATTGAACTTTTAAATATAGAGGTTACTCTGCGACCGCAAACTAGCATTGTGTTTGTCCACGCACGTCATCGTCTCCTCGAGTGACATATCACCTAACCTTGGACACTACTGCAAAGCACACATTGCTCGAGAGTATCGATTACATTCAAATTAGATTAATGGAACGGTATTGTGGAAATCAAGGTCGGCACCCATCTTTCTCGCGTTACGAAAGAAGCATTAATTTACCATTAAAAAAATTACCTCACGATATGACCTTTCGATCCGCTATGGCGCCTTGGACAGCAAACTTAATCGCTCAGAAACAGTCATTTTCAAAAAAGTTGGGATGAGTATTTTCGATCAGAGCTATTTTAAAATCTTAGCTAGTTGAGGTTATGTTGTGATCCATCAACAAGTCATAACCCATAACCATATAAATATAACAAATACGAAATTCTCTTTCTTCGTCATACACGTTAATACTAAGGCAAATTGTCTGCTGGAGGGTACTTGTACTTTGAGATCGGCGGTTCTTAATTAATGCGATCATTTAAGTAGCAATAACCCAATCCAACTTTAGACTGTATTTTTTTATTCATACCCCACTGATCGCGCGCGAGCTTAATTGGTTTGCTTTAAGTTCATTAATTCATAACGAATTAAATTCCCTCAGATGTTACGTAATATCCTTCGTTAAAGCGACAGTCGCTGGTAAACGTTTGCCAACATGCGAAATTATATCCCTTTTTTTTCTACAAGCGAAACTATTTAGATCGCGCATGTTAAGCCAATTCTTCGATGTGTGATCCAGTGGCGGGGACATATGAGAAATCCTTATTTTAAGCCCATACCGCATAGAACATAAGATTAAATTTTATGCCGACTTATGTTCATAAAGCAAATTTTTAGTGCAGTGTTGCCACGCACATGTAAAATATGCTTCCACACTTATTACCTACAAGCATAGTTAAATTATCAGTGCTCTATATTAACAATGTTCTTACTCATTTATTAAACAGCAGCTTCAAATATGGAATTTTCCCAGATCAATTAAAAACAGCTGTGATCAAGCCATTATATAAGAAGGGTGACCCGGAAGAAATGGATAATTATGGTTTTCTCTCTGGTTTTTCAAAAAAATTTGAAGTAACAGTGTGTAGTAGATTGGTAGATTTCTTCATTGACTGTAACTTGTTTAGAGACCATCAGCATGGATATACATCTGGCAAATCCACTGAAACTGTACTTTTTAAGTTTACTAAAACAATTCTAAAACATATTGAACTTGGCATTTTTTTGGATTCAAAAGCCTATGACTGCATCGACAGGGATCTATTCCTTAAAAAATTAGATCCTATTTATCGAATAGAAAACAGTCTATCAAAATTAAGAAAAATGGACGCCCTCACTACTCATAATCTAAAAAAAGCTTATATGGTATCGCACAAGGCGGTATACTAGGACCAATTCTATTCATAATATGTATAAATGACATCTATTCGATTACAGCACTAAATAGTGAAAACATTGTATGTTATGCAGACGACACAAACTTACTGGTGGGAGGTACAACAATGGTAGTAAGTTATTTGGAAAAGCAGATAATTGGTTTAAAGAAAACAAATTAATTTTAAATAAAGATAAATCGCACGCTATTTTGTTTCGAACAAAATCCTATTTGGAATGTGATAAGCATATTAACAAAGTAAAGTAAATATAGATGAATTTGTGGACTGGAATGGGCATATTGATAGCTTAATGAAACGGTTAAATTCTGTTTGTTATGGAATTATACAACAAAAATTTTATATTTTGTCAATTTTCTGTCCATTTTAAAATATGGCATTATTTTTTGGGGAGGGCACAGCGCACTACAAAGATTATTTGTAGCTCAGAGAAGAGTTATAAGGCTAATTAAAAAGATGAAGTGTCGAGGAATTTTTCATATGGAAGATTTAATGACAATATACGGTGTCTATATTTATGAGTCACTCGTTTTCTTTTTTAAGAACCGGAAATATTTCGAACTGCATGTATCATCCCATACGTACAACACTAGAACGCGTAATGTAAATCACCCAATACATAGATTAACTCTAACTGAGAAGAGTCCATACTACATGTGTAAAAGATTTTATAACAAATTGATTTAAACGAAATATTAGGACACTTCTGATAGAATTAGAACCCTACTGAATAAAAGACTATTGTGAGAAAATAATATAAGAATTTTTATATGTTATGGTTAATTGTATAGTATCTCTAGATCTAGGTATTAGACACTATTTCCGTTGTGCTTTTGTATTTTGTAATATACTAACAAAATTTGAAATAAAGATGATGATGATGCTGATAATTATTATTATAAATGCCTATACAATAATTTAAATTAGCTGAGATATTATTTATTTAGGAGATAATTCTTAAACTTAGATTTAAATGACAAATAAGAATTTATCCTGAAGCATTGATTCTGTATCCCAGAATTGAATATAGAATGTTCAATTTAAAATAAAAAAGCGGGCCCTTTTCATTAAAAACTAAACACCCTGTATACATAAAAGAATTAAATGCCTAAAAGGTTTAAGTTAATAGAAGACACATGTGGACCACTCTTTACGCGAAAACGGTTTACTGTTTTATTATTCGAAAAATAGTAAAATCTGATCTGACTTAGCGGTATCAGTAGCAGACCTGTGTTATAATATGCCGATTCACTAAATAATAGCAATAAGGAAGAAACATAAACCATTACTTAAGTTTTAAATCTTACTGACAACTTTAAGTCTGCTAATTTTTCTGAAAGGTCACTGGTATTGTTATTGTAATTATGCAAATCCCTTTCGCAATATCCTGTATTTCCGAAACAAACCATTGACTCACTTAAGTTGCTATTAAGTTTAAGCGAAACTGTATCGTATAATTTAATGGTTAAATCTACTTCTATTGCCGATATAAGTAAGAACAAACAGAGAGAGGAAAGTCTTTATCGCTGCGCAAGTAAAACAAACTCATTCGACATGACGTGCTTATTTTCGAGATAGCGGCAGCATTGCAAAATGTCAGTGTTGGCGCGTTATACTGTTTCGTTTTAATCTCGAGTCTTAACGTTTTGGAAATGATGTAAACCAGTTCCCTTTGCAAAGTTCCACCATAGCAGTTGCTCTTACATCTGTTTATTACCGGTATCAACCACTTGTTGTTCCCAACTCTTTAAAACTAGTTTTACTTCGGAACCCGATACACTCTGACCAATAAAGAAGAAAAAAAATTGTTTTACCAACCGGAATTCTGTACTGAACAGTCCAGATATTATTTATTATTAACAAGTAGGCCATGACTTCGTGACTATCGTGTATCCTTCGTAAAAATCAAGGCCCACTTGGTTTATTAAAACGTTGAAAACTGGCTTGGCGTTCTAAATAGTTTACTCACAGAAACTAATGATACCTATTACGGGCCTTGAAGAAACCGATTTTTTCTAATTTTAACGTAAACAATTTTAGTTACTTAATCAGGTTAACCAATACAACGCTAAATAAAAAATAATGTAAATGGGACAGTTACGCAATTCAGCATTCGATTTTCTTTGAATACTCTTCGAATTTCTGATTAATATCTCCGAAAACCGGTGAATACTTTCGACTGGTGCTTACTTAATTTTTACTTACTTGGTCCAAGAGGTGACTTTTCAAAGTTATGTACAAATTCTAAAAAGTTATGTCAAATTTACTTAAGAAATGCCCCTTTTTTGGGCATAGCAACGCTGCAACTGTCTAGTCGGACGCAAAATAAATTACTTGGGGTGTTGACTTTCTTAACCAGCACAATATCTTTGTTTTTACATTAATTCGATTTATTTGAAAATTTATTTGGGAGTCACCGGAACTGGAAGACTAAAACTGGTTTACGTATTTCCAAAAATCGGTGGGTCAGTTTTATGCCGCGACTGCACAACACTGACATCGTAATGCTTTCAGGTTACCAACTGGACTTGAGAGAAATACAGCGGCAAAATCAAATCACGAAACAGATTTTTCAAAATTTCATCGAGACGAGTTTGTACGGGAAGCGGTCGTCGAGAATACCGAGTCTCTGGGAAATACTGCCGGCACGTAGCAGGACGGCCGACAATATACAGGGGTTGCTAAGCAACGGGACACACGAAAACGACAAAGAGACGCTAGAAAGTGACGAAAGCGAGACAATTTCTTCCTATTACGACACCTACGACGATCGAGGTAATTATTTTTGGAAATCGTGAACTTAGTCATCCAAATCGGACCCCAATTTGCGAAACAGTATCTCAATAATAAAAAAGTTATAGGGTGTCCAATTTTCCAGGTATTAAGGGGATAGATTGCAACCATGTACCCTATTAGAGGACTTCTTCTTTGTTTCCAAGGTTAAGCAACTGTTAGGCTCTTTCCATTTCCTGATTAAACTTCAACACTAGTCGACTAGTCTTCCATGAAAGACTGACGAGCACCAATAAAATTTCCACGTTTTCAGTCTAGAAGTCTCATCAAAATACAAAAATATCCTTTACATGCTTTTTACAAAACTTCTGGGTTCCTCCTGCGTCGGTTTTTGCTTAATCGAAATTGCTGATGTTCCGCCAATCATCCTGTTGGCTTCTTCAGAGCTTGACTGAAACTGGCTCGTATTTTACTCTGTACCTGCTTATATATATAACTACCACATTGGCAAGTGTAGGATTGCTTTCGGCCTCATTGCTTTTGGAAGAGCAGAGGTAAGGTGTTTTAATTCTGTTTTAAGTGACTGAAATTTCATTTGATAAAACTAAAATTCTTGCATGTAATCAGTTCTTCTACCAACGAAAAATCCGGGAGTCTATAGAAATCTATAAACAACCTAACAATCTTAACCGCGACTCAGGTCTCTACCTGTCACCAATATGGGAATCTGTCATCCGATACGGTGTTTATACCACTCATTAGCACCTCCCCCTCCGCCCCTTAAACAATAAATAAGCAGGTACAGAGTAAAATTCGAGCCAGTTTCAGTCAAGCTCTGAAGAAGTCAACAGGATGGCTGGTGAATACGTCAGCAATTTCGACTAAGCAAAAACCGACGCAGGAGGAATCCAGAAGTTTTGCAAAAAGCCTGTGGAAGTTCCTTTGAAAAAAAAATATTCTTTACACTTTTCCAGTATTTACTTTACCAACAAAAAATTTCAAGTAAACAGACTTTTTCTTTATGCCTTTGCCAGGAAATCATCCTTCTATGTTTTACGTAGCAGTTCTCTACTAATTGCACATTTTGTCATCAACAAGGGTTTTTTTAGTATTTTCTGAACTTTTCGATTTAAGGTTCGACTTTTTCTTGTAATCGAAAACTAGAATTATCATGCTCAATGCAATCATATACATTCAAAAGATTTACGTTTATTGATAAGCCAGAGTTATGGACAACTCTTAAATTTGTTGCCCTTCAGCGGAATTCTCCTCGCTATTACTTCGCATCATTTAGGAACAGACTATAGATCAAAAAGAGCAGCGGCACAAATTTCATCAATTTCATCTCTTCGAAAATTGGACATTCTGTAGGTGTTAAGTTAAAACTCATGAAACGTCAATTAACCACGAAAAATATTACACGAATCTAAATTGCGTTCGACGTTTTCTGTTTGGCTTGAACTTTTGCAACGTTTTGTTTGAAATTTGTGCAACGCAGAAATCGTGCTTGTTCAGGTGCGATGATCAAATATGTCGGGTACAAATTCGAATTTGCAAATATTACATAAACACGGAACTTACAAAAACCACATCCAATGTTGCTATACAGAAAATAACCCCCTTTCCGCTCGCATCGTCCCAAAAAATAATTTGATTACTATTTCGCAATATCGAAAAAATCTGACTTTGACCCAGAGATTCAACCAGACCATTGAAAAACCACTTAGGAGAGTTTCAAAATGATGTATTGCTCGACCACCTTGAAACCGTCGGAAATAAATAAAACTACCCTCAATAATGAAATAACCAAATATTCGTTTAATTTATTTCGCAATCTCAAAAAAATGTGACGTTGTGCCAGATATTGAATTAGACCATTAAAGAAGAGGGCTTCAAAAGGATATATTCTTCAACCACCTCGAAAGGGTCGGGAATTTTTAAAACTATCCCCGATGATGAAATAACCGAATAATCGTTTTATTTATTTCGCAATCACAGAAAGATCTGACTTTGTCGAGATATTCAATTAGACCATCAAAGAGCCACCCAGGAGAGCTTCAAAATGATGTATTGTTCAACCAGCTCGAAATGGTCGGGAAGAAATAAAACTACCCTTAATAATGAAATAACCAAAAGTTTGATATATTTTTTTGCAATTGCAAAAAAAATCTGATGTTCCAAATATTTTATTAGACTATTAAAAGGCAACTTAAGAGAGCTTAAAAATGATGTTTTGCTCAACCACCTCGAAACCGTCGGAAATATATAAAACTACCCCCAATTATGGGATGCCCTAAAATTCGTTTTCAAATGGTTGTCATATTGGTTGCATATGGTTGCACACAATTTTAAATTAATTTTCAAAAGGTGTATATGCTTATCTGTTTTTGTTCATGAATTAGTTGAAAAAAATTGTACAACCAGCATAATAACTATTGCTCCTAATCCGGAAACGATTCAAAATTTTTTGGTTTAAATGGGACATCATGTATCTCTAAACGGCATCAAAAGCTCAAATTTGTTCGCAAATGTCGTCTCCGAAAACTTTTAATGAACGGCTAAATAAATATAAATATGAAAAGTATAAATAAAATTAAACAAGTCTCCTGAATATTGCGTGTCTTTGCGGCTAAATTTTGAGTCGAAAACCTCTCTTTTGATAGTGGCGAATTTTATTGGGAGTAGTTTTATGTCTTCCCGACGGAGGCATAATACATCATTATGAAGCTCTCCTAAGTGGTTTTTCAATGGTTCAATTGGCGGTAGTTTTATATATTCCCGACGGTTTCAAGATGGTTGAGCAATACATCATAGTCATCAATGATCTAATTCAATATCTGGGACATCGTCAATTTTTTTTGGGATTGCGAAATAAATAAAACGAATATTGGGGTATTTCATTATTGGAAGTAGTTTTCTATCTTCCCGACCGTTTCGAAGTGGTTGAGTAATACATCATTTTAGAGCTTTCCTAAGTGGATTTTTAATGGTCTAAATCAATATCTGCGACAACGTCAAATTATTTTGAGATTGCGAAATAAATAAACGAATGTTTGGGTATTTCATTATTGGGAGTAGTTTTATATCTTCCTGGTGGTTTCGAGGTGGTTGAGTAATACATCATTTTAAAGCTCTCCTAAGTGGCTTTTAAATGGTCTAATTCAACATTTGGGACAACTCAATTTTTTTTGAAATTGCGAAAAAAATAAAACGAATATTTGGGTATTTCATTATTGGGAGTAATTTTATATCTTCTTGGCCGTTTCGAGGTGGTTGAGTAATACATCATTTTGAAGCTCTCTTAAGTGGCTCTTTACTGCTCTAATTTGATATCTGGGACAACATCTGATATTTTTGAGATTGCTAAAAAAATATAAAGAAGTTTTGAGTATTTCATAATTGTTGGTAGTTTTATAACTTCCCGGCCGTGTCGCGGTAGTTGATCAATACATCATTTTTTTGAGATTCCGAAATAAATAAAACGAATATTTGGTTATTTCATTATTGGGGCAGTTTTATATATTCCCGGCAGTTTCAAGGTGGTTGAGTAATACATCATGTCGAAGCTCTGCTAAGTGACCCTTTAATTGTCTAATTCCATATCTGGGACAACGTCAGATTTTTTTGAGATTGCGAAATAAATGTAACGAACTTTTTGGTATTTCATAATTACGGGTAGTTTTATTTAGTTTGAGATTTCGAAATAGTTATTAAATTATTTTTTGGGGTGATGCAAGCGCAAAAGCGGTTATTTTCTGTATAGCAACATTGGATATGGTTTTTGGGAGTTCTCTTACAATATTTCTGTGCTTACGTTTTTTTCTTTCATGTGATCATGGGGGAATTTTAGAGTGTCCCTCAATTACTTCAAAGAATAAGCGCTAAATACCACTTATTTTACTGTCAATTTCCATTAGCTACTACTGCTATTACCAGTGGAATGATGTTGCTTCTACTAGATACAAAAAACAAGAGAAAAAAAACTAATCTGAGAGTCTGATTGAAGATAAATGCAGTTAAAACAATACTCGCACGACTTTTTTTGCACTAAGACCGAAGAAATTATAATTCTGGAACAAATCTCAATCATCTCAATATAGGTCCAAGAGCAAGACAGAGTAGAACACAAATTCAACAGCCAAATCTCAAAATTTATCTGATTTTATAAAAATGATTAAAAATAAAACTTTTTACATTTAAATTTACCTTAGCCAAATACCTTTTTCTTAATTATCAAACATATCACACTGAAAACTTAAAAAAAGAGGTTTCATTAGGACCTATATACCAGATATTTCTCGCCGTACCTTCAGAATCAGATTTATTGGCCACTCACTTTTCATAAAATTACCAAAATGAAATCGCTCTTTAAGGGATCTGTAACGATGGCTTATATACTAATGTTCAGAGTTAAAGTTAGAAATCTTCGGGTCCAATCCTTACTTTAGTCCAAAATATCCTTGTGGTGGTTGTGGTGGCAAGATTTTTTCGGGCATTTGTGACCACGCATTCGCCTTCCTGATTTATTTTGTATTTCAAGTGAAAATTAAAGAGCATTTTAGCAGGATGATTTAATGAACCGAGATCTAGCTTAATTCTCCTTAAATCTAAGACAACATATATAAATCAACCGTTTAAACAATCTCAACGTCAAGACCGCAAGGTCGGTCGTCAAATTTACGAAAAGTCAATTTGAATCGTGCATCGAGACAAATCCTTATCTGCAAAGTTTAAAAATTGCGTTACCGCGATGAAACGCTTCGTAGATCTGATCTGTCGATAAATCAAAATAAGTTATTCGAAAATAGTACTAAATTTGGCAACAAATTACTGGAAGATTAAATCATAATTCAGATTAGTCGCATACTTGATCTAGGGTTGCAAAATTTTAAAATTTGGAACGCTGGAGGGGCTGACTGAAAAGTAAACAGGCTAAATTTTTTAGGCATGTCTCTGATTTTATTTTTAAAACCCTAAATTGAACAAGAAAATAAACAAAACCTTCATCCAGAATCAATTATTTTTTAAAAAAGAACTATACA